ACTTGAAAACGGTTCGGTCCAAAATTTGTACCGGTCCAAGTAATTTTAAAAACGGGACGGTCCATGGACCGGTCCAGAATTATAACTTGTTTATTTTGGGTACGGACCGGTCCGTAACAAACAAGCGGTTCTTGGACCGGTTCACAACCCTGGTTTTAATAATTAAATTTATTATGTAACACAGTTGGCCGTGATTTTTGTAATAAAACAAAAGAACGCATACTTCAAATAAAACATTATTTTCTGTCAAATTTAGTTTGTCACATATCTGTTTTCAATCAAAATGAAGACAAAACCTTCTGTAAAACTAAGTCATAATCAAAATCGACAAAAAGTTTGTGCTGGTTGTGGTATGAAGATTAAATTTGGTAAAAGTAAAGAAGTTGTGTTTGCTGTGACGTCGAAAATTGATAATTTATTAAAGTAATTTTCTAACCAAAAATTTGATATTAATAATGAAAAGTTTCCTATATCAATTTGTACTAGTTGTAGACTTTCACTTTTCGAACGAGAAAAAAAATATTTTTACAAGACCACTACCTAAAATGCCAGAATTTGACATGGAATTTGTTAAGAAATTTGCAACCAGAGGTAATACCGACGTAAATAATTGTAATATGATATGTAAAGTTGCTCAACAAAAAGGTCATAAAAAAGTTGCTAAAGGAAGACCGTCGACTCAAGGCCCACAGATGGATGTTAGAATACACAAGATTTGTTCCACATGATATCAACAAATTGGCCGGGAAAAAAGGCATAATTGTTCTACTTGTAAAGCTCATACCAACATTGTGAATATTATTGAAAATTCCACACCTGTAATTTTTAACCAATCAAAACGTGTATTTTTGATAGATCACCATGGCAACGGTTGAATTTTAGTGGAAATTTTTTCCTCGTGGGTACCCAACAGCGAATTATACTGGAAATTTTTTGACGTTTATAATGACAGAATATTTTTTTGACAATCTGGTTTTTATTTGTTTACATGATAATTTTGATACATTTCCATTACAAAGTTTAGATGTTTTCTACATTCGTTGGACACCTCCTTTCTTCTTAATGGCGAAAATGCAGGACTTGAAATAAATTAAATGTCTATGTCTAATGAAATATATATAATATTTAGACACTATTCTATTCACCTTTTTTTCCATTTAGCACTTTGAGTTTTGAATAGTTAAGATGCAAATATTCGTGAACAATTCAAAACAAATTTTCTTTCTTCAAGTAGGAGCCACAATCCTCTAATAATGCGGGTAAATAAGTCATTGCACGATGATTGATCATTACAGCAGACAATTTCACATTTTTTTACGTCGTGCCGCTTGACAGCTTCAAAACTGAAATAACTTTTAGGTTGGGGTTGACTTAGTTGCCATGGTAACTAAATAATCAAGTCGAGGTCAAGTTAAATCAAAAAATAAATTTTAATTATTTAAACACAATTTGGTGTGGAATTTTCTTACCGAATACCACACGAGGTCAAATTAAATCCGGAAATTTTTTCTCCCTCATGAATATTTTTAGAAAATTATCCCTCGTCTTCGACTCGGGATAATTTTCAAAATATTCATGAGCTCGAAAAAATTTCCGGAAATAATTTAACCTCTAGTGGTATTACTAGTGAAAATATTCCAAATAAACGCCAAGAAAAAGTACTAGCAACAATGCTGCTAAAGAAAGTAAAAAATTAAAATATATCTTAGAAGGGCGCCATTAAATTTGGCTACTGGAGGAAAACCATCCAGGGTGTCAGTAAATCCCAAAGTTATCAGAAAAGCAGGTTTCTCCGCAGAAAGCTTCAGGTTACTTCGGAAATCTCCATCGGTATGAAAATATTATCGACTTTTGTTAGATCATCTATGGGTAGAAAATCAATTCCATCAAATTATAAACAACACGTTGCTGAAAATTCCAAAATTTTAGACAATTATTATACACTGAAAGATCGTTATTTTGATGTCGACGGTGCTGTTGAAAAACGTTAAAGGTCAGTTGTTTATTCAGATGCAGAAACTTTGCTGGGAAAAATTGTAATAGACAGAAAAATAGTAGGAAGTTACAGTGTAAAGCTAATGACAGATGGGGGTTAAGGCTTTTTAAAGATTTCCATGTCAGTAATGGTTACCGATCAAGATAGAAAGGCTAATGGATGGCATGAGGAAGGTGGACAAGAAAATGGATTTAAGGATACCAGTGTCAACAAACTAATACTAATTTGCATAGTTCATCAGGCAAAAGAGACATATGAAAACTTGAAGTTACTTTTTGAGCTATCAAACATAAAAAATATTTATTGCCAATTTGTGTCAGTACCTACGCATTAAAAACAAAAAAGTAGCGAAGTGGTGCTGTAGTTTTAATTGATATACAAAAAAACGAGAATTATTAAAAATAATTTAAAAAAACACAAAAACATGAAAAAATCAGAAAAAGGATCAGATGGGATTTACGCAAAAGGTGTTTATTAATGCGGGAGTTGTCTCTAACAATACCGTACAGTTGGTTTTTGTTGTCATTTTTTTCTAACTTTTGACCCGTTCTGGACAGCTGTGTTTAAGCGACTCAAATTTATTTTAATGTATTTTTAAAAATAATTTCAGATATAGTTGTTATTTTGTTAAATAACACATCTGATTTAAATACTTACACCATTATTTTACGATTTGATGATTGAAATTTTAAATATTTTATATCAACATATATATTAAATTTAATTGATTTTTTATATATGTATTTATTTTATTGTTTTAATTTTTGTTTTTATTTAATTTAATTTTGAAAAAAAAATAGTATACAAACTTCCCGAATAACTAGTTTCGGAAAACTGATTTTTATTTAAAAAAATATTTAAATTATTCTAATAAGTATCTGAAAAAACCCCTACTTTTTGTAATAACAATATAACTAATTTTGCAATAAAAATAAGCAAGTAAGCTTAAAAGTGTAAAAAGAAATTAGTTTTTTTAAAAACGAAGCACAAAAGAAGACAAAAAATTGTTTATTGAATTATTTCTTCAGAAAACAATTAAATAAACAAACAAATAAAAAGCGACGTGTTATATTTTTTCCTACAAAATAGCAGCCCCCGGGACGCCCTACCGAAATAAATAAATTAAATCTAAATATATTAAAAGTTTACTTACATTTTTATTACCGAACAAGCAATTTAAAAAATATCTGAATAATGGTTTTTTGGAAGTTAAAAAAATACTCTTAAATATATATATATATACAGGGTGTTGTAATTAATGTTATATATTAAAATACGGAATACCTTTTGACATAAGGAGTAAAGGAAAAATATTTAAAAAAAGATAAAGAAAAAATAATCATTAGAAGTTTTTTAAATTTTGTGGGATACGCCACTGGTTACACACTTGGTTTATCTCTGCACACTTTTGTTCTGGGAGTACATAGATACCAACCAACAAAGTAGCTGCGCGTTGCCAGATGTAAAAAATTGTTACTAAAAATTTTTCTTGCAAAAAATAAATAAAAACTCAATAAATACAAAAGTTTTATGCCCTTAAAGCTCTAATACCCTTCTGTATTTATTTACTCATTCAGCTAATAGCTTAAGCAATGATTAGAAAATAGTACCTATTTTAAAAATCCATAACCACAAAATTAATTTTTTCATCAGTTTTTTTCTTTCTGTTTACTCAGATGAAATTGGGACCAGTTCACAGGTTTAACTTTAAACATTTAATTTGTGTAAATAAATCCAAAAGCACTTCCCTTAGTTAAGATATTTACAATTTGAGCACATAACCTAAAATTTGAAAGAAATGCACTAGATTCTGTCATAAAAGTTGTCAGATTTTGTTTGAATTTACGTTTAGTACAAAAATGACATAACCAACAATTAATAAAAACTCCAAATTGACAATTTGCATTGTTAATTTTGTCATTTTTGTAATTAAGCTAAATTTAAACAATGTTTGTCAACTTTTTTGACAGAATTTGGTGTTACCAACCATGACATAATAAATTAAATTAGGCAACCAGATTAGTCTAAAGTTCCTAGTCGATCAGTGGCGTACGTTTTGGTAGGATAAAGGTTATTATAAATTATTTTTAGTCTTTTTAATTTAGAAAAAAAAGTTTCAGGTGCTTCTTTATGGACCTTAAGGAACAACCCATTTTAATATATAACATTAATTACATAACACCCTGTATATATATATATATATATATATATAAACAGGGGTGTGCTGGGCCGCCGGGACACCGGTGTGCCGGAGGGCTATGTAGGCAGCATGGCGCAGCACGTGGTCAATTAAAAACTTTTTTAGTTGAGTTATGTATAAATATCATAATTATTTTACACATACCATGCATGCCAGCCTGCCAGCTTTGTTTCTTTTTTCGAGATTGTATATTGTTTATAAGTTTCCTGAGCGATGATAATTTGTATTAGTTTTTATTTTAAGTGCAATGTTATATTATATGTTTTAGCATTCTGTAAAATATTGTCTGGTTGCTGGTTGTGTTTGTTGCTTGTTTTTTTTTCAAGAATTTAATTTATACTTTATGATATTAATTATTAACATATTAATAAATGTTTGAAATTTTTTAACTTGGTTTTGTTCACCCCCCATTTTTCGTGTGTAGTTGGCCGATTTTTCTGAATTTCCCGGGCCGGTCTGATATAGCCAGCACGCCCCTGTATATAAAACACTGTATCTCTGAAAGGAAAGGTTTTTGGAAAATAATTATTAAAATGTTTTTTCTTATTTTTATGGCAAGGAATCTTATCCTGAACTTTTTTGAAATATTAACGAATCACGCTGTATATATCACATTTTATTTATTAACCATACGATTACTGAATATAAAATCGTAACCGTTTTCGTAATTTTAAAGCAATAATCGTTTCATCACTAGTTAAGCACTGGGTATTGACCCAGTTGCTAATAATTGGTAAAAAGTTTGCCAACAAAACTTCTACATTTTTAAAAAATTATAAAATTTTGAAAAATATCCAACTTTACCATCACAGGAGAGTTGCGTGTTGAGCGATTTTCCAGCATTCTTCGAATTATTCATGAAGTTCTCGACGCCGTATGCATAGACTTTGATGGCGGTCATAATTTCATTAACAAGACTGGAACTGGACGTGTCAAAGTGAACTCCTGTAACAAAGACACGCTGTTTATTAAATTATTCGCCGGAATTTTAAATAAAACGTGTTTTTAGCTTCATAAAGCGCCAATCAGATGGGCCTTGCCACTTTGAACAAGTAGTTAAAACCGTTTTAAGTGCAAAGTAGGGGTCGCTGAAGTTGCCGGATTAAAAGAAATATTTGCAGGAATGATAATTAGGACTGACTTCGCTTGCGTTCCATTTAAATTTAGAAGAAATCTAATTAATTAGATTGCGAGGTCCCACTCCAACAAAATAAAGGATTCGTTCAATTAAAGAAAGCTATTTAAATGTTCTTAAAGAATTAAAGCAAATAAAGGTTGGGGAAAACTGCAAATACGCCCCCAATCTATACACAGAGAAAAGTAATCTCTTGATTTAGGAAAATGCATTTATTTGAAACAGGTTTTCTTGTATGAAGTAAAATTTTCTTATTCGTAGTAACTTGTTGTTTACAATAAGAAAATACTATTATTTGGTTGTAAATAATAAGTTTCTTGAAAACAACTTATTGTTGTGATTAATTGTAAAGAAATATTTATTTAGAGCAATAATTATTAATTAAATTGTTTGGATGAAGGTTTTGTTTCTTTAAGTAAACTTCTACTAAACTTGAGATAAAAATTTAACTAGATATTTACTTGTATTAACCAAATATCAGTTTAAAAAGTCAAATAAACCCAAGTTTTCTACTAAATAAATATCTTCTTGTAGATATCGAAATAAATAATTTATTTGAGCCAAGCCAAATATAGTAAAATCAAAAGATTTATTTTCTCTGTGTAGGTTAATACGATCCTTATTGTTTAAAAATATATTAAAAAATTATTTAAATATACAAACATTTAAATCTATGGAAAACAGCATTTTAAGATTGGTAATGTAGTTTGCGGGAGTTTGAAAAGACCTGGTATTTGTAACTAACTTATTATCGTTGGGGTAAAACTGTTGCAGAAACTAAAATTTTTTGTTTTTTGTAATCAGTACCTTTATATGTGTAACTGCTTGCATCATTACCTGAAAAGATTTAGTTTTGTTGTTGAGTATTATTTACTGCAAAAAGGCGATTAAGTTATTTTAACTGAAACTTTGTGTTGGCTAGAAGTATTGACAACTTTATCTCAAAAAAATCATTTCGGCGGTAAAATGTTTTTGTTGGACCAAATATTTAAGTAACATTCTCAACTGACCGAAATTAGTCCGTGGAACTAACGGCTCGGTTGTATAAACTATGCGTCACCTTTCACACAGCTAAGACACCAGCGGTGTGAAACAAAGTGTCAGTTGGGGATGTTGTCTCTGTAGGTTAATGCAACTGCAAACTTTGTGCATTTCGCGCGCGATTTGTCCAGCCCGGCGCGTGCTTTACTTTTAACCTGTAAACAAACGGTATTGCACGGCGTCCAGACTTCGGTGGTGTTTGTTCTTTTGTATTTGTGTATCAGCTCGTGTGTAGTGTATATTTTAGGTAAGAAACTAGTTTATTACAATTAGTCATTTGCCCCTGTAAATTCAGTGGCGACATACTTTTTAACTATTCATATATATAAGAATATATTCTTATGTGTTGTTACTTATAGATATCTCGAACAAATAATATGGATGAGCGGACTGTTGTAGCAGATTTATTAGGAAGATGGGGTTTACCTGAATTGGTTCCAGTTTTAAAGGTTAGGTATTATTATTGCACTCCTTTAATTACACTATTGTAGTTTTGGGGCCCGAAAACAAAATACAAAAATGTTAAAATGCCATTCCGACTGAAAATGGCCTCCTGAATCCAATGGTGCCCACCAAAAGTCTCCATCACGTCGGAATTTCGAAAATTTTTTTGTTTTGTTATGTTTTGTTACAGCTCAAGTCGCATTTTTGGTATAGGGCCTATACTAGAGGCACTCACACTCAAAATTTATCGAATGCTTACCCCTGTTATCATGCAAATATGTTACGTTGTACCTAAGAAGTTCTTAGTAAGAATCATTGTTAAGTTGTTAAACATCACGGTTTACTGAAGAAGTATAGTCAACTTTCATCTTAATGTACCTTTCTGTTTATTTACCAAAGAATCGTTTTAGTTTTATTGTTAAAATAATTATAAATGTTTTCTTAGAGTAATTATTAATTTTTGTTATAATGTTTAAACCAAAATTTGGTGTTTTCAGTAATATTGTTATTTTTTAATTTATAATAAATATTTACAAAACGAACGGGCATGAATTTCCTTTCTCTATTTTTTATAATATTTACACAAAAAGTGTTATATTTACTAAGCAGGTATGTACTGTGGAATAATACCAATTTGTTGTTGCTACTAACGCAAGCATTTAATATTAAATAACTAAATAAAACTAATTAAATAACTTAGTTACAGTACAAAACAAATTTATATTATATCAACTATTAAATTCTTTAAATGTACCTTTTTTCATGTAATTTCAATTAAAAAATAAATTCCTGCATGATACAATGTTTGTTGCGATAAATAGCAAGTGCAGTTGTTACAACTTAGACGCTGCTAAAATGACAGACTTATGTGATTGCATTAAATATCAATTATTTGTATGAAAAAAAAAACTAATTTCGATGCACTTAAACTTGTTGGTTGGAGCTACCAATATTGGCTGTTCCGACAACAAACTGTAAAAACAAATTTGTATTGGTTCCCACAACATATTTTTTTGTTGTGCCTATTTTCACTAATAAAATTGGTTCTGGGAACTAAATTTTCATTGCAAATACCAGGTCTTTTTTAAGAGTGTGGGTAATACCCACTGGGTATACAAGCGGTTGACGGAGGATGCCGAGGTAGGAAGAAGGGGGAACACCGGCATTGTGAAAAACAGGTGTAAAGATTGTGCAATCAAAATATGAGGAAAATTTGCAGGTCTCTACATTTTACTATATTATTGTAGTATAAATAGTTCCCAACGGGCAGTACATTGCGGGGAAAGGGCTAAGGGAAGTTGCTTTTATACTTCAGGAGGTTCAGACACGATATTAGTCGCTATGAGAAAATGTTGAAAAAATTCTAGGTTGTAGTAGAGTCTACTTAAAAAACATTTACAAAGTTTTAGTAATATTGACCGTCTGGTTTCTGAGTAAAAAAATATTAAATTTGCTAAGACTACACGGGGTTTTATCGTTTATTATTGCTAAACTGTGCTGTGAATGTTGACAAAAATGTATGTCAATTCTACGCGTTAATTAAATAAATCTTTTGTACAGCCCATGTCTACAATTAATGCATATTTTCTAACAGGACATGGACAAATTATTGACATGTTTGCAATAATAAATAAAAAGTGTCCAACCAAAATTATTAATCGGTCATTTTTGTCTACATTGTCTACACTGGATCGCGTGTTCGTAACACGCGATTATCTAGGGATATTTGGTTTGATTTATTTAGTGACTACCATAATTTCGTTTATAAAGTTAATTATTTCAACAAACACAATTGTGTTAGTATTTATTATAAGTTATTTTTTTAAATAATTAAAGAATCCTTCTACCTTTTATGGTTTTCTTATCTTTATTTTCTGCTCTTCTTGAGACTTTCGCTGCATACAACATACTGCATGTTTTTTGTTGCTTTATTTTTGGTTTCCAAATCTTATTTTAATAATTATAATAATTTTTAAAGTGGACTTGTCGCGTTTAAATCCTATTTTATTCCTACGTTTTTATTATAAATATATATCCTGTATAATAAGAAATATAGAAATTGTTTATTGTCTCTGAAATTTTAACTTTATGAAACAGTTATTATAATACCAATAGAAAGATTAATTAATTTTCTCTTTGATTATGTTAAAACATACAGGGTTTTACATTTATAATAAAAACGTTATTATTGTTTCAAGTTTGCCTATTTTTAACCTTTAAAAAATTAAATTATTTAAACAATGTTTTATTATTCCAAAAATTCCAACCCCATGTCAGCAAACATAAAGACAAAAAAATTAGAGGCAATTTTTGATTAACGCGAATTTAACAAAATTTTAACGAAAAAAAATAATATATTTCAAACTATTGAAATTAGATATACTCTAAATCAAATTGTATATGCTATTAAAATTTTAAATCCATATCGTTTGCGTTTCTCCTGAAACACCATGTGTAGCATTATATTAAATATAAAAAATGCAAAATATCTAATTACAAAAAAGCGATAAACTTTTTTATTGGGTAAATATTACTTTCCTCAGTTTGGAATTAAAATTGAAGCTTGCTTATCGAGTAAAAAATAGATTGAATCTTGGTTGTGGAGCAAAAAATACTGACTTCCTGACACTCTCTATAATTATTATTTAGTTTATTCATTTTAATAAATTAAGGTTTTAAATTTATAGTAAACTTATAAATTGAAACGCAATCAGTCATTTGCAACTTGTAAACTGAAGGTTACCATAGAGAAAAGTCTATGATGCCTACTATGATCAAAATTGGTAAACTTGAATTTTTTTTAAATTTATAAATTAAAGTAATTTTAGCTCCATCTTTTTTTAAATAAATACATAAGAATTGTATGTTATATATTATATATTATATGTAATATATAATGTATAATATGTAATATATAAAACATTATCTTATAAAACTAGATAAAAGAATATATATATATTGTAAAACACGTTGGTATTATGCCACTTAAAGGAACTTAAAAATGATGTATCTCGTAGAAACATAATTTGCATGTAGCAGTTTATATATCAAATCATAGTTAATTATCAGTAATTTAACGTGATATATATCAAAATTATAAAACAACGTTGCTTCTTCGACTTTTTAACCCTTACAAAATGGTAAAATTTTAAATTAAAGCGTCCCATGTATGTTAAAATCTAAAAAAATAATACGTGGATTTATTGCCATTAATAAGGTCAACATTTTATCTTAATTTTAAATCGATACGTTTTTAAATAAAAATGTTATTACAAAATATCGAAATTTATCTATTTTTAACACAGTAAGGCCTGAAACCACAGCG